AAATCAAAACTTTTTTAATGATTTTTTTTCAATATCTCGGGTAAATAACGTCTGATTTTCAAATATTATACCTTTTTGAATTTGCAAGGATCCCTACTATCAATTGTCATTCCAACAAATTAAAAATCGGTGGGTTAAAAAATGTTGTGGACCCAAAAACGATTCGTTTGTAAATTCAACCTTTCTTGATGATTTTTTGGAATATCTGGGCCAAATAATGTCCGATTGTGGAATTTTATACCATTTTGGACTCGTAAGAATTAGTTCTATCGACTGGCATCAAAAGAATGACAATCTAAATTTTGACCCAAATCGACCAAAATGGCAAGGGGTTACATCACGTTTTTTATCAAAATCGGGGTCGGTTCGAAAATGAAAACTTTCTTGATAATTTTTTTTTTAATATCTCGTGTAAATAACGTCTGATTTTCAAATATTATACCTTTTTGAATTTGTACGGATCCCAACTATCAATTGGCATTCAAACAATTTAAAAAAAGTAAGAGGTTCTAGTCGGGAGCTCCCGACTAGGGGATACCCTGAACCCTCTTCTTCCAACATCAAATATGTATATATATATATTCTATTTTAGAAGCTATATGTCATGTTTGGTGACTCAGCAAATACATCTACAACTTCAAGTCTCTAGCTCTTATATGTTCTGAGATCCTTGCGTTCATACATACGGACAGACGGACAGACAGACAGACGGACATGGCTAGATCGACTCGGCTTTTGGTGCTTATCAAGTATATGTATACTTTATGGGGTCGGAGATGCTTCCTTCTGCCTGTTACATACATTTGGATTTTGCACAAATACAATATAATATATCCTTATACCCATTTTTAATGGGTTCAGGGTATAAAAAGAAAGTAGCGTAGAAACTGTTCGCTAGATTGCTATCTGAACATGTAGATAGAGCAGTTCGTGTAGCAAACTAAGTTTTGTATTTTAACTTATGTAACTGTTGTGCAACTGTTAAGTCTGCAGAATGCGGCCATTGCTAAAGACAGACAGAAACTTTACATGCAATTAAGGTTTCCCCCTTTTTCGATGGTTGTTATGCGAAACTTCGTTCGTTAGTAGAAACTGTTTTTCCCAAAAAATGTTCGCTATGCGGGGCGTTCGTTAACCGAGGGTCCACTGTAGTCTACAATAATTCAATATATAATAATAAAGAAAAAAGAATGGAACGTCTTGTGCCAAAAATTTTAGATATAATATGTCCATTAAATAAACGCCTGTGAAAAATTTAAATCTTTCCATCCTGATCTCCTCTTCTATTCAAATATCTGTTTTAAATGCATCGAATAAAGAACTAAGTGTTGGAATTTGGAATCAATATAGACATAGGTAGTATTTTCCCACCCCACGGTCAAATCTCATCCTGCGTGGGGGGACAAGTTCGAACCGAACGCGATGAAGTTGGAATGCTTTAATTTTGAGAGTGATGGTAAAAGTGGCTAAGTGGAATCTGGGGGTTTCCGAGCTTTTAGCGCCAACTGTGCTAAAGCTTTCGTTTGGTAGGGGCTTAGTTGTCGCAGCAACCAATTGAGAACTTTCGCCGTTTGCCGTTGCCACTAGATGGCGGCAGCTACTTTTTAGATGCTTATTATTGCCTCATAGAGGGTATTGTTATTTGTCACGCACTCGATTCGATCCAGCCTTAACTGGGAAGATATTAAAGAATACCTCTATGTTTACCACTGCAGAGCTAAATAATAGGTATCTTATAGTATTCCTGACTATTCCTTACAAATCTGCTTTTGCATTATTTATTGTTTGTCCCCTGAGTTCAATGCTCTCCCAGTGCGTGGGTTTGTGACAGCCACGTTTCTTATTTCCCGCTGCTGTAGCTACCGTGTCGCTGATGTTGTCGTGCACAAATTTTTCCGTAAAATTTTGTCTGGCGTTGTCTTTGGTCAATTTTGTATGGGAATGTGGTTCATTTTAGCTTTCTCGCGGCGTTTAGAATTATAATATCAATTACAGAAATGTTACCAAATAAATTAATAAACAACTACAAATTTTCTAAATAAGTGTAATCTTGTATTATTTCTAGAAACATAATACAGATTATAGATTTAAAGAACATTTCTGGCCTTTCCCAACATACGCTGTTTGTGCAATCTGGCAGCTTGACAAGTGACACCCTTTCCGCCTCAGAGTCTAATTCGCTAAATAAATGTGTAAGGGATAAATTTCCCCCACATGGGTCACCCTGTGAAGCGGAACTTAGTGCTAGCTGCTACTTGTCTGACAGTGCGCCACCAATGGGCATTTTGCCAAAAAGTGCGAACAGAGCGCGAAAATGAGCTGGCGAGAGACAGGGACAGAGACAAAGACAGAGACTGCGTGAGAGAGAATACGAATCTTGCGCTCTTTTAGCAACTGTAGCCGATCAAAAATTCTTTCAATCTTACAAAATTTTGCGCTTGATCTTTTAGTTAATGTCGCGTTTCCGTGGCGTCTCCATTGATAAAGCGTCAATAATTATTTTGTTTAATTCGCGCAGAATTATTTGACGCTACGTGCGAGTTTTAATTGCCTCAACTCACATTATATTTAACTTAGTCCAAACAAACAAAATATCAAAAACACTGGAATTTTTTGAGATTCTACGGAACTTTGATAAATGGAGTGACAGCTTTGTGCGAAACAAATACGATTAATCGCCACCATTATCTCAATCATAAGCATGTAGTCAAGGCGTGATTGAACACAAATATTATTAGAGAACATATATTTTGTATGTCATCGGTGCTAGGACTGTAGATGTTCGATGTCCATTTGGTTTTCAAAAAAAAAAAGCCGTCGTTGAGCAGTTAGATAGCATCTATATTTTTAAGGCTGTATAAAATTTTAACTTGAATTCGATTTTATGTTATACCTGGAGGATGACGAAGATGGTCGTATCGCGGCGATCGGCAAAATATATGTACATATATCTAGACCACCGAAATATTGTTTACTTAGAGCTTATGAGGGCATAATTAGGGAGAGAAACTTATTTTTCGAACGCTGCCTGTCTCTGTACTTTTGTGTATTGCAACATAGCAACAAGCACAAAAATAACATACAACCGAAACAATGAAGACAATTTTCGATGCATTTTAGAAATTCAATCTAAATTTGTCTGACGACTGAAAAGAATATATTCGGTCAACAGAAAGGATTTTTTCACAATCGTTTAATGGATGAACTTTTTCTTAAAAAACTCATCTCTCAATATTAACCCTCTACCCTCTCTAGTCAGTAAAGTTATTTTTAAACGATGGATGGTTATGTTTTATTATTTTTATACCCTGAACCTGAACATCAAAAATGAGTATAAGGGTATATTGTATTTGTGCAAAATCCAAATGTATTTAACAGGCAGAAGGAAACTTCTCCGACCCCATAAAGTATATTTATTCTTGATCAGCATCAATAGCCGAGTCGATCTAGCCATGTCCGTCTGTCTGTCCGTCCGTCCGTCCGTATGTATGAACGCAACGATCTCAGAACCTATAAGAGCTAGAGACTTGAAATTGTAGATGTATTTGCTCCTAGTTCCCGCGCAGATCGAGTTTGTTTCCGATAATCGATAACTTACTCCGTTTCCAAGCAATCGATAAAAATCAATATCGATATCCTGTTTTTTGGGCAATTTTGGTAAATAATAAGAGCTAGAGTCACCAAACTTGACATATAGCTTTTAAAATATAATATATATATGCATTTGATGTTGGAAGAAGAGGGTTCAGGGTATCCCCTAGTCGAGAGCTCCCGACTAGAACCTCTTACTTGTTTATTTTTGGCAATACCCAATCGTTAATCTTTTTTTTTAGGATTGTTGTTAAAAAACAGAAAGGAAACAGCACATCAGAAATGTTTTCTTTTGTTAAGATTTTCAACATCGACCTTCGCTATACCTTAAAATTTGTACTAAGTTTCTTTACTTGAATTGAATGTATTAGTGTAACCCTCAAACTCGACCTCATTAGGTTTATTGGCACGCACTCGCCCCTGCTGTCTCTTGTGACATTTAGTATTCCTGCTTGTTTTAGTCGAGGCATGGCTAACGTCTAATTGGCGTTAAGTATACGCAAGGGTCAGGCATCGGCTGTGTTGATTTCGTCGTGGTGTGGTCAATCGCTAATGGTAGAAACTGAAAATTGTATAGGGCGCTTTTAATTTGATGATCATTGGCCTCTTACTAATCTTCTTCGGCTTTCTACTGGACGAGGAATATTTTCGCAGGCAAAGTTCAAAACGTGCACATAAAGACATATTTTTATCACCGAATTTTGATTACCGAATCTTGAAAATATTCCTTTGTTGTAGGGCTAAAAAAATGTCCAATCAAATTGTAACAGACTTTTAATCGCGTCGTGCATTATCTTGAAATAAGTGAAAAAGAAAATGTGTCTCAGCCTGCAAAACTTATTCAAAATCTGTCGAGGTTAGTAAAGAAATATTAAACACAAACTCTATATGTAAAATATTAATAATATGTGCAAACTACTTTTATCTTTATCAGTAAAATGTTCAGCTAAGGGTGAAAGGCCATCTAACTATTGCTATTCGGTATAACTAAATTAATATCTAAGTTAGTGTTTTTTGTGTCTCTTGAGACCATTTGGGTATTGTCGACCTTAGCTCATAAAGGGATGTAAAATAATTTTTGTTTTGTTTATAATAAGAGCTAGACTCACCAAACTTGGCATATAACTTCTAAAATAGAATATATATATATATATATATATATATATTTGATGTTGGAAGAAGAGGGTTCAGGGTATCCCCTAGTCGGGAGCTCCCGACTAGAACCTCTTTTTATTATACTATTGTACATTTGTCTACGAGGGTATTTAATAGTTGTCATCCTGAATATAAACGTTCTTTCGTGTTTTTAATTAAAACAACACGCATGTTTATTTGACGTTAAGCTAAGTGTTTGAAGCAGATCCGTTGTTAGCCTGCTCAAACGCCGTTAGTCAGTCAGTTTTGGCAAAATGTGGGCTTTACTTGGTATTCTGGTCGGGTTGTTTAACAGCACAACCACAACTACAACAACTTTGGAAGCTTCCTTGGATGTGTCAGACATTAGCTGCCTGATCGCCACAACGGAATCCGCTCAAACCACCTATATATATCGATGTTTTAGCTGCCCCGCAGCTAATTCTGTTACTTATTTGACTTTGGAGCAGAAGCTGTATCGTTGTGTGGCTTCGCAGTTGCCGAGTTGTATGCGCAGCATAGAAGCTCACGAGATCGAGCCAATTCATCAGACAAGTAGCATGAATATTTTTCATATACCCGCTGGCGACGCTGGACAGCCTCTGGTGCGCCGAATTGTGGACATGCTGAATGCTCGACAGCCGAGGCGACATGTCCATAAATATCTGTTCGTTTGGCCAGAAGCTAGTGAGCAACAGCTAAGGCAACTGTTTGAAGAATGTTGGCGAAAGCAATTGCTCTTCGCTTTGGCAATTATCCACCAGGAGGGTATCTACGATTTCCAACCATTTGGTGAAGAGGGACTGGAACTCAAAAAGGTATCCAGTGATGCCTTCTACATTGACAAGTTGAGGAATTTGCATGGATATGAACTCCGGTTTTCTATGTTCACCCATCCGCTGCGGGCCCTGCCGCTTAATCCTGTGGAGAGCGCAGGCTATGAAGCTATTGATGGGTCCGTTGCACGACTTTTGGCTAAAAAACTAAATGCCACAGCTCGCTATGTGGTGCCTCGTGATGGCGAAGCCTATGGACGTTGCCTGGAGAACGGCAGTTTTACGGGCGTCGTGCAGGACTTGGTAAATGGGGAAACGCATATTGCACTCAACATTCGCTTTGTCTTGGAATGTATGATGCCGTTGCTAGAATCGCTATATCCATACACCCGAACCGTTCTCAGCTTGGTGGTTCCTGCGGCGGGACTGCAACCGGAGTATCTTATCTTTGTGACCGCTTTTCGGAATTCCGTTTGGCATCTGCTACTGGCCAATTTCTTGATTGCCTTTGTGCTTTTCCTCATATTACAGTGGCTGCTAGAGAGCATTGTCGGAGATGCTGGTTCCCACTGGTATGATATTTTTGAAATGCTCTTTAAGACGCATTTGGGCCAACCCGTCGATCGTTTCTCGCGCATCAGCTCTCTACGAGCATTTCTCATGGGATGGATTCTTTTCAGCTATGTGTTGACTTCTATATACTTTGGTAAGTTAGAGAGCAGCTTTGTCCAGCCAAATTATGAGCCACAGATAAATTCACTGGATGAGCTACCACCACATGGTCTGCGTGTGCACGGAATAGATACCATGTTTGAGGCTGTGAGCTTATCACTTTCGGAGCGACATTACCGTCTTCTTACAGCCAATCACCGAGTGCACCCTCTTAGAGATAGTGAACATTTTTTTGAGCTGTTAATCAGCCGTCGTTATAAAAAAGACGTTTTTATTATGCGTGATGACAAGGCCAGAGAATTCCTGGCTCTCACCTACAATGCAGAGGCGGACCGTCCCGCCTATCACATTGTCAAGCAATACCTGAGATCTATGCCGAGCACCTATGTGCTACCACTGGGCTCCCCGTTTTTATACAAGTTTCAGCGAATGTTGAGTAATTTTTATGAGCACGGATTATTCGAGTATTGGTTGCGCAGGGATGTTGTGCAACGGAGTCGAACCTCGCAATCCGATGAATTTTTCGAGGATCTTGGAGCGCAGGCAGACCTGGAAGCAGAGGATGCAGATTTCGAAGAGTGGCGCCAAAAACGAGTGGTGCTTACTTTGGACATTTTACAGGGTGCATTTTATTTGTGGGTCATTGGCATTATTCTGAGCATATTTGGATTTCTACTGGAGCAGGGCTATTTCCAGTGGCGGCGCATGCAACGTGGGACACTTTTCCACGTTTGATTTCGGACCTTAGATATTTGTATCTTCAAATCATAACAATTAAAATCAGTAAAAATAATTTAGCTGCTTGTATAACATTGACATATTTATAGCTTATATTTCACGGCCAATCGTATGGCAAAGAAAAGAGTTCATCCAAATGTTTTCTCTGATTATTCAATTTTTCTAAACTTTTATCAAATAAGGTAACTACAGTATACATTTAAGTATCGTTATTTTTATGGTCAGGACAAACACTACTATATATATATAGACTATTATTACTAGCGGATAAAACTAACAAAGGAATTACATTCTTTATAGCCGATTTGGGTGACAAATAAGGTAAGGTGCGCTTGGCTCTAGAGACAAAGGGTTTTTCAATTTTCTTTCCATTATAACTTGGAATGACATATTCACGTTAACTTTCCATCATGCGATAGTAGTGAGAACTGTGTCGTATTACCTCTTTTTGCCTCTCAAAACCCTTTGCATTTATTATCATTTAAATAGAAAGAGAATTGACAGAAATTTGGAAAGTTTGCCCGAAATTAAACAACAAAATTGAAACACGCTGTGTACACAACTATTGGGATTTCATTCCGTTCATATCAATTGGTTTGGTTGTAGCTTGTTCTGCTAAAATGGCCACAGGCTACAGTTCAACGCAATTGCAGACATCTCGCAGCGATGAAAGGATCAAGGCGAAGCGTGGCAAGGATAAGCGCAGCGACGAGAATCAAGACTGGAACGCTCGTCGCAATCAGTCCAGGTCGATCACTGAGAGAAGCAGTCAGACGAGTCTTAGAAGAAATACAAGGCTGCAATCTCAGAGTCGCTTTTGTGTTCAATATAGCGATGATGATTCGTATGAAACTGTCGAAGAGTTGCTGAATACAGACTTTAATTTGCTGCTCGCTGTGACGCCTAAGCCTGAGGAGGTATTTTGTCCAAAGTCCTCAGATTACCAACTGGCTATGCATTGGTACAAAAAACTTAGCACCTGGAAGTGTGAGACATTAAACGATCTTCGCTTGCGCCAGGTTTACATGAGTCACCTCAGCGTTTGTTTTAATCAAAAGCGTCTTCGCGGAATATTTATGCAAATACCCCCGAATGAACTAATTTTGGTGGATTTCATGGAAGCGAGCGAATCACTACCATGTTGCACGTCCACGTCAATGGTCAACACCAGTGCCTGGCAGACCATGGCCACCATGATGCAGCAACAGCCGGAACGAGCAACAGGTAGTTGCTGCAATCAGGCAGCCAAAGCTAATGAATCCCATGGAATACCGGTTGGTGGCCCTCGCTCTGCTGGTGGCAGCAACAAGCGCAGGTGCTCACTCAGACCCGCACACAAGATCACTTGCAAGTCGAGGCCCAAACTCGTGCCTAGATATTTTGCTGATGCAAAGCAGAATTTATATTCCAGCAGCGGCTCAAGTGTAAGTTGTGCGTATGCTCCAGTTACGGCTACGCCACAATTAAATAAAAATCAGCACGGGGCTGGCAGCATTCGGTACAGTAGTCACAGTCGGCCGCTAGACGAGCAGGCACGCAAGGATATGAACTACCTGTTGGAAACCATAAAAAGTGAACTATGCGGCCAGGATAACCAGAACACTGATGAGCACCTAGAATTGGAACTGAGGCGCTATCGCGATTTTTATGCACGGCATAGGCACAATGACCCCGAATTTAAGGTCAATGTGGCAGCGGGTCCCGAAAAAGAGCGCACCTTCATGCTCCTGAATATGCAAAACGATTTGGTCAAGTTGTTGTCTGAATGAAAGCTATAACTCAATTGTTATATTTTGTATGTTTTTTAACAGACAAAAATAAACTTAGTCATGAAGTTTAAAATTGTTTCTTTCCATTTTTTAAGTCATTTTATTGAGCAATAATAGTTATATTAAAGAATATTCTGGATGGCTTTAAATTTAAAATTTGCGATATTTAAATTACAGTTTTTGATTGATATCCTTTGCATTGCAGGTCAAAAATCTGGGGACGAAACAACAGCCCAGCAACAGCAGCAAGAACATCAATATTCAAGCTCTAACTCCAACAACGGCTCCCCGCAGCGTGTCACCCACAAGCGCAGCAGCATCACGGTGAATATGCCTGCGGCGGGTCTGGGTCAACGACCGCCCAGCATCATTTCGACGGCCAGCCAGGACGAGGGTCCGAGTGCTGAGAAAGCGCCCGAGCTGAAGATCAAGCTGCAGTCGCCATGCGATGGCGACCCGGAGCAGCTGCACAGCCTCAACTATGTGGATGTCGGCTATCGCCTCAATCCCGATGGAAGCGAGTCACGCGAAGTCTTCAGCAGCGAAGCGGATCTCTATGTTACAGCCAAGGTGAGCGACATGCAGCGTAAGTTCCACGGCGCCAATGGCTTCTCGCACGAGTCGAGCACAGTGTATGCGATAATCGTGCCAGAGCAGCAAGAGCCACAGGTGGACACGTCCTCACGTGGTCTTCTGCAGTCTCCTACATCAAGTGTCGATGGATCGCCGCTATATCGCGGCGTCTTCAATTCGCCGCCCATAGGTGTGGTTTCGCCTATAAGGCGCCGCAACAATGGGCAGCAATGTGAACAGAATGGCGAAGGGAGCGAAAAATGCAGCACCAAATCCACTCCGCCAATGTCGCCAGCTCGTGCCGGGCTAGTCAAGGGTATTGCGCCTATAGCGTCCCTAGATCCTCATGAGGCGGAACTCAACCTGGAGGAGGAGGAACACGACGAGCAATTGGCTGTGGAATATGTCGAGGTGATGGAAGAGGAGGCGCCTATTTTGCCTGAACGCCGTGCGCCTGCACTTGAACTCCAAGATCTGGAGTATGCGGACACTAGCGCAGGCGAGGATGAAGAGGACATATTACAACATTTAAATACCGATGTCATCGATGAGATGGCCAAGGTGCATGTAACTTCTGCTTCTGGTTCAGTGTCAGCTTCTGCTCCTGCTTCCACCGCGGCCATGCCACGTGATGACAGTTTACCGGATGCCATGACGGCCGCCGAGGCCGAGCGATTGTTGAGTTCAAGGTGAGATTTTCTCCAAATGCATGCTGCTCCTTATATATGTTTCAGTTAGTAAGTAGTGATAGTGAAGCATGTGGAATCAGAATGGATATCATGAATAATATTTTTACGAAAACTTGCTTCAGTAGGCAGCACTCAATTATATTCCTTAATATATATTTATAGTTACAGTTCATATTGCTTAAGTTGGTCTTAAGCACTTTTAAATAGCTTGCAGTCAGAGTTCAAGCGGTTAGTCCAGGCTTCTTCTGTATATCCTCTTAGTTTTGAGTTATTTTCTTGATGTAATCCTTCTTCCTGTTTTATTCACTCACAACTAGTGTAAACATTTATCTTAGCCTCCCAAGTCGGCCTTTGTTTGGCTGCCTTAAGTGCCCACTGTGTCTATTTAAAGCATTTATAATGATGGTCGCAGCTCCAACCTCATCAACATTGTAATTTGAAGCTTTTCTATTGTTAGTCGTTTATTTAGTCGCCTTACGCAGAGCTCTAGTTTCAGATGTGTCACCTTACGTACTATCTAGACTCTTGTGCTTTGCTTTAACATTGAATTATAAAAGTCCTGGTCATGTACCAATTTATTAAATAACGTCGTGTACAAACTACACTATGCCTGTTTGGTTCGCAATAAATGTTTGAACTATGTATAATTTGGAATAGTCAGAGATCCCAGGTGTAGCATACAATTGTGGCAGCTGTTGCCCACATCTGGAATATCTATGTAAACAGGTGTCTAGTAGTGTTTGCAGAATTTAACAGTCATTTATTTCGACTTCTGACATCCTTCTGCTTTTGCACTAGCACCTGCTACTGATAAAAATGTTAAACTGAAAGGTGCATTTTTTTCTGTAAGTGCAAACTTTCCTTTGCCTTCTATCAATCAAATAACCAATTTTATCTATGTAAATTAGTACCTACAAATATTAGTAGTATATATTGTAGTATAGGTATTTATATATATTATATAAATTTATATTATATATATGACTCACTAGACATATATTTTTGTCCGGGCTGCTTCTATCTGCCTGTACATATCAATATACACTTGCTACTCATTTTCAATTTGTCTCAACAAATCCAACTCAAAAGCACCCCCCGTGAGAGAAGTGGAAAGCGAGTTGAGTTCAGTTTAGCTGTTGTGTTAGCTGTTGAATAAGTTGAGTTTCTCTTTACTCTCTCTCTCTCTCTCTCTCTCTCTCTCTCTCTCTCTCTCTCTCTCTCTGTTAAGCTATCGCTCGTTTTCTGTCCAATTCTCTAGCAACCTTGCCTCCCTTGACTCATTTCGATTTGCGTTTGGAGTTTTTGAGCGCAAGCCGTGCAGCTTGCAGCATAAACAGACCCTGTTGTTGCAATTCCCAGTAAGCAATCACATGGCCGCCAGAAAGCAAACCATTCGCCTCTCGCATTGCTGTTGCGGTCCTTCAGTTGTTTCAAATTTCTGTGGCAATCGGCATTTTCGTGTGTCAGCGTAGTTTTAATTAACTTATTGTGCATGAACGTAAAAACAGCATGAAGCAAGGCATAAACTAGAAGAAAAAAACATAAAGTTAATCTAAATCGTTTCGAAAGAAAGTTTAATTGAAACGCATTCGCTGCATTTTACAGTATGCCAACGGGCTGTTAAACTCGCTAACAAGGCTCGAATTAAAGTGACAAGCCCCATAGAAAAAAACTTAAATTATATTTCTTTAGAGTAGGTGCCAAATGTGATGGGAAATATTTTTTCGCTTTTTCTTTTTTTACAATTTTGCGGATCTCTGGCAATTCCATCCATTGTAATCATAAATGCATCTTTAATGGCTATAATGGCAAGGGACAATTGGAATATGACTTGTTTTTTAAAGGGGTGCAAATTGATGTCGATTGTAATCGAATAGGTCGCTCAAAACAAGCAGTTATCTCTCTCGTTATTTCTAAAGTATTGAATGATTGAATAAGCACCCAACTAATATACCATTTGGCACTC